GTTCTGCTCCATCAGACACAGTGCTCAGAGCCTTCACTTTTATGAATTAGTTGTTTAAGAATTCAAGTTATATCCTCTTGCTTTTCAAGTAAACTCAAGGCTACAACCACTTCTAGGGCCGAGCAGAGACTTTTTATGGAAATCTAGAAACATCAGTTATTTTTCCAGACTTAACAACTAAGTTTAGATTGATAGGCCTATTTGTCTGCCTGGTGCCCCTCCAGGATTAATTACATCACAACCCTCACACCTGCAATCAAGATATTTGAGACTCACATTTCTGAACACAGAAACATGAGTTGGTTCTGCTAAAGGCCACACAGCCTGGGATGCAACAAACTATACACTGGACAGAATTAGCTCTATTAGAAATGAAAGAATAGAAGAGAGCTGAGGGAAAGTTCCTGTCACCTGCCACTTGTACGAACTGGAAAGAAGTTGATATTCCTTACATGAACCCAAGGGATGGAGAGTTAATATTGAACACCAAACCACACAACTATAAACACAGTAGAAAATATCTGTTTGAGGGGCTCAGTCTTTACCTTTGAATGGATCTAGGACATCGCTGGTGCTCTTGATCTCTCCTGGGATCAACTATCACTGTGGCTTTTGATCTTTTTCTAAAAATCTGAAGTTTTTGAAACATAGCAGGAAGTGGCCCGTGGTTCCCTAGGTGGGGATAGATGAAGCAGGTATTCTTTGAATCTGACTCTAATGTCTATTGCTTTGTTTCCTGCAGCTAGAGAAGACTCTGCTCTGTGACCCAGCTGGTTTCATCCAGTTCTACAGTTTTATGAGTGAAATTCTGACAAAACGAAGAGATTTAGCCATCACCTTTTACTTACACAAAGGCCATACAGGTAGGTCTGCCAAAAATAACTGTCCATGAGACAGTGTATGTAATCATGCCTGCTACGACTGAAGAACCAGAGCTTCTGAAGGATGCTGAAAGCCAATCCTCAAATAACAAAACACAACCATTCTTTGGAGTTCAGTAGTGACGAAGCTATGAAGGTTAGCACATCAGTGAAGCAGGATAATTGTTTCACTGTGCTTATTATCTAGCCCCTAAAGAGTGAGGTCAGCTGGTAAACAAGAGAGAGAAGCTGTCAGAGCAGCTTTGTGCAGTAGAGGAGCTACAATTCTGCTCTGCAGTGTAGGCCTTGGAGGGAAGTGACATTTCAGTCAGCAGGGTCAGCTGTTTTCTCTGGTGACAGTTACTTGTGCTTTGATTTCCTGAAGTCAACAGGATGACCTGTTGCCTATGGAGGAGCGTGGCATTCCTCAGGCCAGCCTACAAGTGTCTGTGACAAATACTGGACATTGATCCTAGACCACAACTAAGGCTCATTCTCAGTCTGTCTGCACAGAAACGCCTTGAGAATGTGCAACCACCCAGTTCCCTGACTCCCTTCACAGCTCCACCTCTTGCAGCTCCAGTCCTGCAGTCACACAGCAGCACTCTCCTCTCCACTGTGTCTTCACACATGCCCAGAGAACAGCCCAGCCAGCAGGCAGGCATGGCACTCTTCCCAAGAGACTTGCAATTGAACACAAATAAATAAAAGTGAATAAAATTAGAAGTACATCAACAGGTGGTACCCCTTGTCCCACACCAGAAGAGTTGATAGAAGTGAAGATTCTGGCTCCAGAATCCAAATACTGTCACATTGCATAAGCATCTTTGTTTCAGAGGAAGCCCAGTGTCTGAAACTCTTGTTAACTTCACCAGTGTCTCCGGGTAAAATGCAAAAATAATTACTAGTAACATTATAAGTAGAGATGGTTAACATTAACGCAGTGGCCATATAGGATATGAAAAAATAGGAACCTTTATGATGTATGAACATTATCTCTCTTCCAGTTGAAGAAATGACTGAGACACGTGGTTTTGATGCCCAAGTTATTTTTTTAAGAACATTCTGTCCAAAAGAAACAGACTTTGCAGGTGTAGTCCTCAGCCCTGCAGTTGCCCAGTACAGGGGATTTCTTACCAATCTCAAAAGTAGAATAAGGGGATGGAACAGACCAGAAATGAACATTTTGTGGCAGACATTTTTTGGAACCTTTGCCATTTGGACTGGCAAGGGCCAGGAATCTCTTTTCTTCTTATGAAAAATTGGAGCAATGCCTTTGGAAGGCTTTCTTTTTCTCCTTAAGATGCAGAAGTAGAGCTCTTCCTCAGGTTTTTTTTTGGTGTGGAGTGCAGACTTTGCTGAAGTTGTACCTGTCTCAAGTCTGAAATAACCAGGAAATTTCTGCTTGCAAAGGCTGTCCTGTTCTCACACAACCTTCTGCATGAATTATGTTGGTGCTGTAAAAAAAGTTTTGGTTCTATACTTACATCTGATTGTTCTGCTCTCTCATGCATACGGCTTCCTCAGGTTAACCACATATTTTCCTCAAGTGAGAAGTAAGATTAAAAAAAATAATCATCACTGTTAATTATATGTCATCCTGGAAACAGCAGCAGAAGTTAAATGTCAAAACAGAAGAAGAAAAAGAATACTCACAAATTTTACACCTTACAAGAGTTTAGATTCAACAGAAGTTTATACTTTTGTTTTCTCCTCTAGAGTTAAACCAGCAATTAACATTTTTAAGTACACAATTTAAAAAGCAGTGGTTTATGATTGACATGTTTTCAGTCAATTTCCCAAATGGCTTTAGCAAAATCAAATACAATTCCTACGGTTACAGCAGTTCAGCACTTACAAGAAGACATTCATATTGTAATGGTCATAAGTTATGCTCTCCATTTCCCATAATGATCCTTTTGCACCAGGTAATTGATTTGAGTGTTAGTTGTGAAATGTGTTGTACACAGTTTTAGGATTCCAGCCAAATTCTTCTAAAGGGCTTTTACAGGGATCTATCAGGTTTTTAGATCTATGGCATTTTCTTAACAGGAACTCAGATGCAGTTTCTCGTTGGAAAGACAGCCCCATTTCCAAATGAGCCCAACTGATGACAGCCTAACGAGAGCAGCATGATCTAGACCACACAATTTGTGTTACATAAATCCTAACGCGGTGCTAAAATAACAGTGAAAAAAATATGTTTGGCTAGAGGCAAAAATTCAGCTCTTTCCTTCTGCTTCTTTGACTTAGTGAAGAGACACACACTTAACTAATTGCTCTGGCAGCTCAGCAGGCTGGCTTTGCTTAATAACACCATCAGGAATTCCCCAAGGTTTCAGCTTCTAATATTGAGGATCTTCAACACACACTTTTAAAGTGAACCTCTGGATTATTTTCCTTTTCAAAAGATGCTTTTTCTCTCACTTCCTCCCACTAGTCACCACATCAGGCATAATAATACACAAATACATACCATGCAGTCTGAATGTTATGCAGTCTGGGCACTTGTCTGTCACAGAAAACCTAAATACTTACAGAACACTCTGCTAACAAAAGGATATTTGAAGCAACTCTGAGTTCGCAAGTAACAGAAAACTACCAAGCTTCGGGCTTGCCCAGTACATCCATCTGAATTTGCTCAAAGGCACGACAGCTCTTCATTTTACAGGTCTAAGTCATGAATACGCAGCAAAACTCCAGTTTCATATCCGCAACAGAAAACAAAAAATCTAACCACCAAATTGGGTCATAGTTTGTCCTTCACGCTTAAGTAGATTCTTCTTTTTGGCTAGTTCAGTGCTCTTTCTAGATCTAGTAATCCATAAGAAAGCAACAGGCAGACAAGCATGTGAAAGATGGCTGGCTTTTGTCTGGGATTCCACTTTAAAAAAAAATAAATTAAAAAATCACATACAATTTAAAGAAAAGATACTACTGCCATAAACCAAATAGTTTCCTCCCCTATCTGTTTTATGTAGCATAAAATACAGCAGAAAACACACTTATCAGCTTCCTACAAATGGCTAATGTTTTGGTTTGAGTAAGGGCATGGGTGGGGGCAATCATAGATCTAAATGCATAACCAGTAAGGATGTTAACACACTCAGTTTAAAACTGCAGCTTCCCAAGCATCTGCTCAGCAGCCCAATTTCCTATAGTGAGAAGTTCACTGAACCAGAGAGGAACCACCCATGAACACAGAGTCTTACAGTATTGACCTGGACATCAGCTTGAACAGGGCAGGCTCAGAATCAGATCACTCCCAACAGCTTTTCTTCCCCTCCCATGTGCATAAGGTCTCTCTGATCCAGGGTTCGTTCAGTCAGACTGGAAGTTCTGCTGCTACAGTAGCAAATGCATCACTCCAAATGCATCGCTATGGTACAGCCTCAGTGTCTGCTATGCTATACAGGAGAAAAAATTGATGGTTCAAACTCTGTCAAGCAGAGTTCATAAACTAAACAAACCTGCAGTCTTACTCATCTTTAGCCACTGTTCCCACGTTTAGGCTACAGTAGCATTCATTCAGCTCACAATGCTTCTCCTTCTGATATTGCTCTGATCTGGAAAGATAGTAGTCATCTTCAGGAAACAATTGCAGGATAAGAAACATTGCAAAAAAGTATCTCCAGGCATAAACAGGATAAGAAGAGTGGAATCTATGAGAGAGCCTTGCCACCTGCACTTCATGTTCACTTTTAAAGGCAGCTCAGTGTTCCACATATTTACTTTACACTTGGCATGACTGGTTTTGTGCTTCTTTACAGGCACTGAATGCAATTAATACACCAGGCAAACCCCTTGTAGGTAATTCTGGATTCTGACAATGAGCTTGAAACAAAATTTTAGGAGGTGTGATACTCACAGCAGTGCTGTAAAGTCTGTCTTGGATTAGAGTTTCTTCTATCACAGCCTCTAGAAAATCTAAAGATGTGGTTGGCACAGCCATGCTAGCAGATGGCACAGTCTGAAATGACTGGCAGTTCATAGCCCCAAAGACCCCCCTGCACCTTACAAAGGAACACAGCACAAAAAACATTGCAAGGAACGAGGAAAAGTTATGCTGGTGACTGCGTTCATAGGAAAACAATTTGTATATCAAAGTGAAAAGGCATCTTCTGATCAAAGTCTCTCTCATTACTGGACCATCCTGTACACAGGGTCTCCAACTTGAATCGTTCCAGTTTTGTCAACAGCGAAGTATCTTCCAAAAAGAGGGCTGGATTTGTATATGTGTCGCTCAGACGGATCACATAAGCGGTAACTGCAGACAAAGAGGGAGAGAGACAGAGCACTTCTTCAGAATCAGTGGCACCAACTTCTAAACACCAAAATACCAGTGCTGAGAGACCATACTAATAGTGATGCCCTGTTTTGGTCACCACATTAGATTAAAAACTAACGAAATAATATAATTTAGAGAAACAAGCAGTCCAAATAGAGAAAAAAGCTCCACACATCAGTGTATAATACGCATACAAAAGACTTTACAAAAAGAAGTGCCACAGTTGCCAAGTTAGACCTTTAAATACCTTAAATACCTGTTACCGCAGGCATTCACCCTAGCAGAGATGAAAGAGAGAGGGAATGGAAACTTTGAAAGAGAGAAGAGAGAACTTCCTGAATTTTCTTAGCATATAGAATTGCAGAAAGTCAAGGGGAAGCCAATATACACAGACCTTTACACTGCATTATTATGTCCCACACATACTTCAACCCCCTTTTTAAAACACTAGTCTAACTAATCTGTTGGGATCCAGCCTAAATCTACTCCCATAGCCTAAAAAGCACTGGTATTTTTACAACCTTTTCAATGTTTCCAGGGGCTCCTTCCTGTCCAGTACCCCAGTGTCTGGGTTAACAGTTGTTAAAATACACCTGCAAAGACAGACAGCACCCAATCAATAACTGCTTTTTAACCTAAATCTTTATACATCTATATAAAATAAAGGTCTCAGATGTTTACCTGGCACAACACACTGTCCCTTTCAACTCTGCATCGCCAATAAGAATCTCCTCCCAGGTGTCCTGAGGGAAAGTAAAAATTAAGCACAGATCAGACCTCTCCACCTGCAACTACTTTCCCATGAGTGGCACAGCCATTCCCAGAGAAAGCAGCACCACTTCAGAGGATCACCTCTACCTGCACCTTCAAAATGAGTACAGTTTTCTATTGCAATCCTTCTTGAAAGACAAAAACCCATTTCCACTTTAGGAACTTCTTAGGTTTGGGAAATATCAGCTCTACCCAGAGCAACTTCTTTACAAAATCACAACGGGACATAAGAACTCATAAAAGTCACCATTGCCAGTTCACTTCATCATCAGATATCTTCCTAGACAGTGGTTTTTGAACCACCAGAGTATTGTCTGAGATGTAGTGACAGACTGCAGTATTGCAAGGGTCAGTTTTACTCTCATGCCAAAGGCTATAAAACGTCACACCGTCCATTTACAAATGGTTCATTTGCATCATTAATTGATCTATTACAACAGATCACAGAAAGCACGCATGGCTTTCCCTACTTTACACTTAAAGATGAGCTTTCAGTAGCAAGCCTGTCATTTAAATACACGTACTTCATCCTTTGCCAGGCTGAATAAGCACTCACAGACCTGTCTCCTCCCTCAGTGTTTCACACGCACTGATGTGAGCAGAAGCTGTTATCTCTCTGGGATCCAGTTGCAAAAACCAGAGAACAGCGGTTTTCCTCACCATCACACAAGGAAATTGGGTGACAGAGAAACACAACCAAGCCTCCACAGAGACACTTCAGACAGTTCTTTTACCTCCTCAAAAGCGCTGCAATCTGTCACAAAAATATTTGGCCTGAAGTTCTGCATCTTAACTTTCTTCTCCAGCCTGGTATTTAAATCATCCATTGAAGCTTCTGAGAGGATCAAGACTGGGCTACAGTCAGGATAGGCAACCTACATAATAAACAGACACAAACAAATCCAAAAGCTGGTGTTAAGAGCACTGGAAGAAAGTTACTGAATGGCAAACCGACAGGAATGTTGGAACCAGTGGCCACACATTAGTGACTGGCAGGCTGCTGCACTCAGGTTTTAATTTTCCTGGAAGTAGATTAACATGTCAACTAACATGCTCCTTCCTATTTCATTAACCACAGTAAGTTTGATTTGCTCAAAGTGTAAAATTAAACCGCTACTCATAGAATTAAACCAAAATTATATGGGCTACCACATAAAATAATAGCACATGCATTTCCCACACATTTATTGTGGGTGTTACAAACAGAACTAAGTGTATCAGTAAAACATGTTATGGTAAGTTATGAAAGGTACTTAAGACATTTAAGGATCTGCTGAACGTATCTGGCTAATTATAATCAATTAACTGGATTTTTCTATATAATGAATGTTATCTTATCACAACACCAGAGGGAGTTTTAGGTACAGAACAGCAATACTAAATTCTAACTGTCCATTCAGCAGTCCAAATCTGCTTGGACACGGGAAGGCTGCCACTTTATCAAACAAGGCAAATCAACAGTATTAAAAGAGAACTCCTACATCTGCTATTTCCATTGGACAAAACAAAAAATAAATTCTGGCAAGAATTTTAGTGTAGAGCCCTCCTCCTGTCTTTCTATCTTATGTTATCCTTTCCCCTCACCTTGTACATGCCTTTACAACTACTAGTAGATGAGTGTTGAAATAACCATATAATTTTGCCCTCTTTAAACATCAAGATTCCTCAACATCACCCCTCCTAATCTGACGTCCTTTTTGTCAAAACTTGGCCCTCTGAATTGATCTCAGTGCCCTCACATAATAAATGCATCTCTATAGAAGTCCATAAATGACTATAACTTCCCTTTGTGAAGCAACAAGCAAAACATTGATGACTTATAGACAAGAACATTCATTCTTCTAAGCAAAATACAAAGTAACACAGCTCATACCAGTACACTCCTAGACCTTACAAGGGATAATAATGAAGTTATTATTAAAGTTTTTCTATGCAACACAGATTACACAATCAAATCATCTTCAAAAATGTAACCCTTTTTCCACTAAGGCAGAAAAGGAATGCTATTCTGCACTGTAATAGTTCTGCTTTAAATATCAGTATCAGATTCCTTAGCTGTGTGAATGGTCAATAACTTAGATTTGAAGTAAAATTTAAGCATATAACCTCTCATAGAAGAAGAGACTACTCCTGTGTGTTAAGTACACAGCTACATTCTGCTAAACTGGGCTCAATCACCAGTGACAGAATGGGCATGTTTTGTTGGGAGGGTGGGAAATGGCTAAAAGAAGGTACTGCTGAGGAAGAGAACATTCATTTACCTCATCTGTGGTCCGGAAAAGGTTTATGACGTCCTTGGACTTCCTCGGGATCATGGAGGGCTCGAAGTGCACCAGTCGATAGGGCTCTGACTTCAGGAAGGTGGTGATCCACTGAGCCACCTCATCTCCACAGTCCCTGCCTTGGATATCCAAGCCAAACACCCTGAAGGGCCAGAAGACATCAGCAAGTTAGCTAGAAAGCTGAAGGCTCAAGCGTGCTTATTACTCATAGGGAAACAACTTGTTCTGGTAGTAGTAGCAGCAGGACACAGTAAACAAAGGGCCTGGATTATAACAAGGTGGAAGTTGGTTTCTGAATTTGGCACAAGGATCATTCCCAGAGTACAATCTCCTTGTGGTCACCTTGTTTGGAAAGCTAAATAACATGGACATGGCCAGGTGATACCAGCTGGTGGAAGAATGAGACATGAAATAGCCTTTAGGTGCCCTCAGCTAACTTCAGGTGCCCAGTAACAAACCTACCTGCTGCTTGCCACACTTTGAAGCTAAAAAAGGCATCTACTCTTGCATTTGCATGTGATTGCAGCACCGAAAGATTTTGACACAGAAATCAGCTGAAAGGTAATTCATTTCAGAAAACGAATGACAGTTTGAACAGATGTGGTTTGTTACTGTAACTGACATTTACAAATGTTATTAATTGCAAATGTGCCTGACTGTTAAGGAAGCTTTTCTTCAGATTTTAGTGCTGTAAAAATTTATCCAGAGCCAAGTGAAACTCTTAAGCTCAAACTCAGCATATAGAATAACTCAGTATCCTAAGAGAGGTTAAAGATTTATAAAGGAAGCAAAGTCCATGGGACAGAAAAAGCCAATGGCAGTAGAATACAAACAAGTTTACACAATACCTTCCTGGCAAGAAAAGGTAAACCTCAACTCAACCTTTCAATAAACTTCAACACCAGCCATGAATGTTTTACTGCTCTCTTCAAAGGAGCAGTTTTGACCCGAAGGCACTGCAGTTTCCTCTACCTCTGCAATCCTACCCTGGATGACTTAAAGCACAGGGGTGCCCAGGCAGCTCATCTACCCTGAGCCCAGCTCCTAGGAGCCCTTCTTTACTCATCTTGGGGAGACACATCAGCAGTCGGAGATCAGGATGGTTCTGGCAGCAACATCCCTGCTCTTTTCACCGGGATCCTGTATTAACTCTGGCACAGGTTGGGATTAAATGTCACAACCCCAGACAACACCCAACTGCCCTTTGTGCCTCTTCCCTCTGTTCTCTCAGACCCTGCATGCCATGCCTCCTGGATGGCAGGACGACAGAGGTGAGGGTCTGACAGCTTCCAGCACTGCTGTTCTCCATCCAGGAAGCAGATCTATTCTGAAGGATCCACGGGAACAGAACATGGGACTGAAGTGCTGCAAACATGCCGACAAAGAACACAGCTGAAGAGCAGGAGGCTTCTGCGCCAGAGGGCTGTAGAAACCCTCTAACATTTGCACAAATAGAAACTCTGCCCACACAACAGCTTCAGTCCTACGTTTGACTGCCCCATGTGCAGGGTTTTTAAATACCCATGTAAAATTTGCAACTGGACTTAGCAGCTTTCAAGATTAGGATCTGCACAGCCTCTTGCAGCCAGGCCCACTACTGCGTTGCCTCAGCTCTCAATGACTGAGCATGAGCCAGCACCCGTCTGGAGGCATCCTCCTCACCCAGTGGTGGAGTCAACAGAAGCCTGTGAGAGGCCCTTGCCAGCAGAACGTGCTGTGCACCAAAACAGCTACTCCCACTCACATGCTGGAAGGGGAGAATCTGGAGCAAAAGCCAAATTGCTTCACTTGCCTGAATACAGCACTATTCTCAAACCTCATTCTTACAAATGGCTGAAGGGACAAGGAAGAATCAACCTTGAGCTGACAAATAGCAAATTGTTTAGGCACAGCAAAGTCATACAAACCCCCTGGATTTCTCCTGAAAAGGATGAGGCAATCTTTAAGTACAGGTATTGCTAATTTCATATCCCATAACACCACCTATAGTACCAGAGAACCTGGTAATTTTTAAACTCCACTTACATGCATCTTTCCTATTTGTGTTCCCAAATTTCAGCAATTTTAAAGCCACAGGGTGCAGTAGTTTATAAAAGCAAATTTAAAAAAAAAAGAAAAGATGAAGAGAAGATCAAATGACTGAGATCTAAAATTAGAAAATCAAAGATTTTTTTAATTACTGAATAAATGTTCATTTTCATCATGATAATTTTTCATTACATATTTAAATATTTTTCTAATGGCACAACAAATTTGAGAAAAGTAACATCTCAAAAACTGCACATTTTTGTAGTGTATATGTCCCTGGCTAACATACAGGCATCATGGACAGTCTTTTAAAAATCTGTCCTTTTTCTCCATGAGAAATGCTGTCATTTGTCACTTGCATCTCCCTTGTATGAACAAGAGATACTGAGCTTCACTGATCAAGGGTTTCCACAGCAACAGATTTATGCTGAAAGCTAATGTATGCAGTTCTTTTCCAGTATACTCTTAGTTTAGCAGCTGGTACACTAACTTTCTCTGCTATCCAAAGGAAAAAACACTTAACAGTATCTTCGTAGGGGCTAACACCATTTACAGTTACTAAACAGTCTTGCATCCTAATTGACATTTTAGCAGAGAAAAGGTTTCCTGCTTCCCCTGGCAATTTTCCAGCACTGACTTTAATACGTGAATGAAATAAGCAGGCCTGCATTCATACAACAAAACAGATAAACAGTTAAATGACTGTTCGTAAAAGGAGTGTTTGTAACCTGCTCACTTGAAAGCCCTTTGAGGGAGCACGTACAGCAAATGACATGCTCTCTGGGGATAGTTTCCCCTGTGACCACAGGGTGAGCCTCAGACAAGCAAGTTTTCAATTTAGGCACCCCAGTTAAATGCCTACAGACAGGGGTGAGGGAATTAAAATTCCAGTATCTCACTGATTCCAAATGTCCAATGTGTATCCAAAAATGCTGAGGCATATACTACTGCTGACCAAGAAATACCAATATGTGTAACTGAGGCTCTGAGATGCAATTGATCACCCCAGCAAAAATGAAAACACTAGAAGCAAACACAAATGAGTAAACATGACATGCTATGAAGATTGATAAGTTAGTTTGGCAGATATCTAATGTATGGTCTTTGAATATTGTGCCATCTTTTCCTGAGATTTGTTTTCACCACTGTTTAGCAGATTAAAACCAGACCTCTCATTATGTCTATCAGTCCTGGCCTCCTGTCTACACATGGCAGAGAGTTTCACAGAATCACAGAATGGTTTGGGTTGGAAGGGACCTTTGAAGATCACCTAGTCCAACCACCTGCTGTGGGCAGGGACACCTTTCACTAGAGTTTGTTCAAAGTGCTATCCAACCTGACCTTGAGCACTCCCAATGATGGGGCATCCACAACTTCTCTGGGCAACCTGGCCCTGCATCTCACCACTCTCACTGTAAACAATTTCTTGCTTATGTGTAATCCCTTTTAGTTGCCCCTTGTCCTGTCAGTACAGACCCTGGTCTGAAGTTTCTCTCTGTTACGCAGATGGGGAGACAGGCTCTCCTCCCCTAGAGAAGAAGCAGAAGCACCCAACTTTTACACTCCAATTTCTGCATACAAAACCACAAACCACCAGACAGTCCTGAAAAGCAAAGCATTTGAGACAGTGCACGTAAAGAGCAGGGAGGGAAATACCCACTCCTTCAGTACCTGCAGTTCTGCACACGATTTTTCCTGGGGAGCTTTATAGGCACGCACAGCCTCTTCATTTCTGGGGCCTCCAAGGTCAGGTGCCCATTTTCAGAGCCGACAGAAATGAGGACCAGCCGCGGCTCCTGGCGAGCTGTAACCATGTGCCCATCCTCCTTGGTCACAAGCCAAAACCTGTGGTGCGAGGGGTGACAGAGAGGTGCTGAACATCGCTGAAGGCCGGCGCCGGGCGCTCCCGCGGTGCGC